ATGTATGTTTTTCTTGATCGGGAAGGCATCTGTGGATATTTGCCAATAAAAAACAGTAACGACAATAAAACACAATATACCGTGAAAAAAATATATTTGAAACCGTTTCAGGCTAAAACTAGAACACAAGTTCTGACAATAGTCTGTTCTGTCATGTGGAAATCATTCTTGGTATTTTAGGGATAATTATATTTATGTTAGGCTTCATATAACAATTTTATCTAGCCGAAATAAACAGAAAATTTACTCTAAAAAATCACTAATAGCCGGATTTTGAAAAAGGCACCTACCAGTGAGGAATGGATCAACGCCTCGAAGTCACGCTAGTTCACCCTCGCCCATGCCGACGAAATAATGCTTCTCTTCTCTGACGGTAGAGGAGAGCTGCAGGAACAAAACCTTGAGAACCAATACACTCACTACATGAAAATGTTCTTTCATACTTTTTCTTATTAAATTGCAAGTGGGTTTTTACCAGCTCAAACGTTTCTTATGAACCACATTGTAACCACAGGGTTCTCCAGAATTGTAACGACCGACCCCCTTATGCGCAAGCGTTTCTTGTCTAGTACAAACTGTAAATTAGATTATAAAAAAAGTAAAGATTTTAATGTTCAAGGATAGTTCTGATAACATGTCAATATAGTATATTATTCACTTACAACTTCTATTTAATGACAGACTTGATCAAAGTTAAGTATATTGCGCAACTTTGCAACCCAATGACAAAAACAATAAACATACTAAATTCGATCAAAAATATGAAAAAGTACATTAATCAATAAATGGTTTCGAGTAACATATTTTTTAAATTTGTTCACTATTTTTAAACCAAACTGTATTTTCAGATGGTTTAAAATAATATAATAATACTTCATCTTAGCATGTTTCTTGTAGGCGTAGTATTTTCTCTCAACTAATTGAAAATTTATAAGATTTGATTTGCAATAAATAAGCCTATTATCTTTCACTCTGCAACCGCTTTAGAAAAACAATTTATAATTTTACTTCTGTTATAATTAGGTACAAACTTATCAGATTACTATTGCAATGAAATTACATTCTAGTGAATTTCATTGCATGCGTTGAGAATAATACAAAAAAATCAAAAAAGACATAGATTTCAGATTTTTATCCAGTTTCATGAAACAATAATGAAGCATCTTAAAACATTCGAGCAAGAACTCAAAAACAATTCAGCAAACGAAAAGTCTCAGCAAAGAGGGTTCAAAGCTCTGCTGGAATTTAATCCGAAATCGATCAATAGCACAAATAATCCCATATTACAAAAAAAAGAACCCGCGTACACTAACAAGCCACCGCAACAAAAAAGAATCACAGCGCGCCCGCCTGTCGTCGTGACAGCTGGCGCGGCGGCGGCTAGTCGCAGCCGTTCGCGGCGCCGCGCCGGGCGCCGCCATCTGGCGGCGGGGGTCCGCCACGAGCCCCCGCCGCCACCGCGCCGCCGCCGCCGCCACCACCGCCGCCGCCGCCCCTTCTCCCGCCGCTACCGCCCTTTTGGGCCCGGCCGGCCGCCAAGGTCTCGCACCCTCGGCGCGCCGTGCCCGCGTGAGCCCGCCGCGCCGGCCCGCAGTGCGGGGCCGCGCCCCGTTCCGTCCTCCCCCACACCCCTCCCTGCCCACGCCCTCGCCCCGCGCCGCGTCTCCGCGCCCGCTCACGCTCCCACCCCCCCGCCTGATGGGGGCCCGTTCCCGGCGCCAGATTGTCTATTAACAGCGGTTGCGCCTCCCTCTAATCCAATTCCCCACCCGCGGATTAAGCGGCGGCTACAGAAAGACTTCACAATGAGAAACAACACACATACCTTACGCCCAGGAAAAATAACTAAATGACAATCATGGCCCAGCGCGGGGGACGCGGGCGCCGGGCAGGCGGCGGCGGCGCCGGCGGACTGGCCGGTCGCGAGGGGAGGGGCCGCGGGGGCGCATGGGTCGGCGCGGCGGGAGATTAGTGTGCCACCTGGTCGCGCGCCCGTCCACGCTCACCACGTTGCTCCCCCGAAAACGCTAAAAATAGATTGGCACAGTCTATGAGATTTCCACCGTAAAAAGCATTCCCAGACACTTTCATGCTGCTTGATTTAACGTTCCCAGCCCGAGGCATACGCTCCCCGCGCCTGGTTCCTCGCCAGCGGCCCTTCCCAGCCCCCGCCGCGCCGCCGGCGATCCCCTGCCCTTCCGGCAACCCCGAGCGCCTGCGTCCCTCCGACGGCCGCGCCACCAGTCGCTCTCGTCATTAGCCCTCACCGGGCCAGATTAGTCGCTGCAACACGATTCCTCTCGATGCGTGATCTCAAACCGCCAATCGAGGAATCCAGGCCGACTTGATTTGAGCCACTTAGCGCCGTTGATTCGCTCCCGTGCCGGTTGGAGCCCCCGGGGCGGGCGGCGCGGGGAGAGGGGAGAGGAGGACGAGGGCGTTCGCCGCATCCCCGCCCTGCCCTTCCGGCCGCCCTCCCCGCGCCTTCCATTTCCGGGCGCGCACCGCCATCAGCCGCAGCGCGCCGCGCATACGTGCTCTCCGACGCCGCCCGCAAGCCCGTCGGCCCCACCCTCCCCTTCCCATTCCCTTCCCCTCGCCCCCTCCCAACCCCTCTCACCCACTCCACCTCCCCCGTTCTTTTCCTCGTCGACTCCACTCCGGGCGCAGCCGCGTCCCGCCTTCACGCACCGCTAATTGAACGGAACGCCAACATCGACGATTTTTGTTCGCGAATATCAGGAAATTGCGAGCCATTATAGGATATGAACCCGAACCTGCACGGTTGTAGCACTGTGCGAATCGTCTCCGATGTTCTGGATCTCTCCACAGGATTGAAAATTTTCCAAAAACCTGGATTACACTATAATGGTGTTTAGAACTGTCTTTGAGTGTAGAGCTTTTGTCGGAAAATGCGCGTCAGTTATGCATTATATATTGCAATGTGCTCATAATTGTATACATAATTAAAACAATAATCTTCAAAAAATCATTTCATTTATAAGAAACCATTTTTTCGTCAAAATTTCAAAATAAGAGAAATATTTGAATTATTAATTGGCGCGATTCAGAAACAAATTGAAATGCTTAATTATTTGGAGTAATAAATGCATTCATTACTCCCGTACATTAGTTGGTATTTCGAAATGTGGGCGGATACATCAAGCAACGCAAATATTACAAAAATTATCGCACCTATTGACCAGATTGCTTATGATAATTCAACCCAGTTCTACGAGAGCTCATATTATTCTAGATATATCTCGCACCCCGAGAAACACCAAAAACTTAAGAAAGGGAGAAAAATAACTCCCCCAAGTCTGAGTTTTCTGCAAACGACTTTTGTTTTTATTCGCACACTCTATGTTTGCAAACAAAGCAATTAGAGAGGCAAAGGCGGGTTAAGCCAGGGGTGTACTGCACGCGGCGAATACGCAAAGTACAGAGTGGTTTATGGAAACCTGATCACGAGAACGACATCTGAATTGCTATTTCTAGTATCAAAATATTTCCCTTTATAGCTTTAAACAGGTCTCTTATTTTGGTCAATTATTAATATATTTTTCTTTCTGATGTAAGAATTCAGACCATTTCTCGAATAATCTGTGAAACAAGCGACACGATACATTGGAAGTATCATGAAATTAAGTAAGTGAAAGACAGCGAGTATCGAAAAGAAAAATGTTAATTGCCAGAAATGAAAAGTGAAGTAGGAAGGGAATTAAAAGCGATAAGATTATGACGGAAGAGTGTAATATATATTAATGGGATGTCATTTTGAATTGGAATTCCGGAGACCATAAGAAGAAAATAGAAAAATAGAAATATTTGTATCTAAACTTTTCATTTTCATATTTAAAATATTTTTTTACCATCAGGAGAACAATGAGAAACGTGCGACTGGCTCGAGAAGATGGCTTTGTCAAATCAATGTTTATGTGCAACGAATGCAGCAATATCCAAAAAACTTTCGTACATAACTTCCCACTGTCGCATCTTAGATGATAATCATTTGTGAATATTTCGCACATTTTACATGCTTGCTAAACTAATATGAACGACTATAACATATTTGCAGTACAAACAGGGGACAGGGGTAAGTAAGAATTATGAAATCGACATTTCCAGAATATGTGATCGGTACAAAACAATTATTGTAATAAACAGTAAACAATATAATATTTATTATAAACGAAATTGGCCAGGTAAAAGTCTGAAGACTATATATCACTCTTTCTCTGCTTCAATAATGGGCTTAGGCTTCTCGCCAATTCTGGCCCCCAAAACTTCCTCTGAATCCTCATATTCTAATCGCGTAACTGGCATCCATCCGTCCATGAGTCCGTCCGTCACACAGGAGTAGACTGTTTCTGGTCCACCGATCGAGGCAGATAAGATTGAATTCGATACTTATCAGTCTCCTGGTGAAGAAATAATTATTGTTTTATGGATCTATCCCGTTAGATTTAAAAAAATATCTATAAAACCTGCTTTTGTGTTTTGAAGCAACTAAAACTCAATTAAGGCACTTACCGAGATGATCAGTAGCTCATTCGATTCCTTTCGATGGTACAAGTCTGTTATCTTAATATTTTTAGGCGATTTTCTCGACGCTCTTCTGGAAGAATTATAGAAAAACAGTTTTTTGATGGTACCAATGAACCTACAATACATTGTCGAAAAGTAGTGAATTACCATACTGTTTTTCATTTACACGAGTTGTTACAACCCCATTCATCAAATTGACGATGTTAAAAACCTCATTTAGTAATGAAAAAAATAAACATGTATATGAATGCCCGAAAATGACGTAGTAATTGAGTAATTGTAATATATTTCAAAGCTTTTTTATCGCAAACTTAGAAACCATAAAAAAAACTTTTTAACGTGAAATTACCCGCTGGAAGATCTATGCTAAGGTAACATCTTTTTATTTGTCTTCCTAAATCACATCCACGAACTCTGAAAGCGAGATCTTCCATTCGATACCCAAGCCAATAAATCTACTCCTCCGCAGTCTAAACCCAGTTGAAACTCGAGCGATAGCAAAGATTCGGGGGTTGACCACCCCTGGTTTCCACGGAGTGGTCCGGAGTCCCCCACCGCCGCTCTCGGGTAATGGACAATAAGAGGACGCAGGACTTTTGAGGCGGCCTCCGCCCGGGAAGACAACGGCAGGGGCTTTTTACAAGCTCTCCCACGACGCCTTTACGGCAGCCACACAGCGCTGTTGGCGCAGCGCGGCGACGCCGTAATCAACGCCCCACTCTCGAGGTGCACGAAACCAGCTACTATATAATTTCTTGCTTTCGTTTGCCTTCGTTTCGCGTCTTTTAATTCGTCGCGTCGCGATTTTTAATTTCGCAGCCGGTACTGCTGCAGGATTTATGTAGATTATCCAAACCTTAAGTAGCAATGGTCAGAAACAGATGTAATAGGCAGAAAGAGTGAAGGTGTTGGACAGCATAATTGTAAAGCATGAATATTTTAGAACGAATTAAAAATGTTATGAAACATAATATCAGTGTCAAGATATATAATTGAATGACATTGGTGATTTTCTGGTAAGATGTTTCTTTCTGTTTACAACGGCTACTGGCTAGGGTACAGATACTGATGAAATAAATTTGTCGAATATTTTTGAAGCATTTTGTTTTTAGAATGTATGTTAGGTGATTCATTTATTTATGAATTTTATGTGTCGGTTGAAATTATCTTGGGAGCGAAAATATTGCGCGAAGAGGTTCTAAGATATTAATTAATTTTTAAACAAAGCGAGATAAATATTAATTATTTTAATATAATTATATTTAATGGCAATAATATTAATAATAACAATAATAATAATGATAATAATTTTAAACAAAATAATAAAATTTAACTTAAAATCAATAAATATTTTCATAAGAAATTAAGAAACAAGCAATACACCCACAAAGCAAAACACGAACTCTCAAGAATAGTACTGCGTAGAGTTGCGAATTGTCTTGTTCGTTGAAGTATCTTCATGGCTCGGTTTTAATGCGTATTTTTGTGTTGCAGGTACTACTACGACAAAAACATCATGACCAAAGTCCACGGCAAGCGCTACGCCTACAAGTTCGACTTCCAAGGGCTGGCGGCCGCCACGCAGCCAGCCACCGCCGACCCGGCAGCTTACAAGTACCAGTCGGACCTCTTCATGTCCAGCTACCACCACTCCACCAAACTGAACTTCATGAGCCCCCACGCGGGCATTCCTTCTTCGTCCGGTGAGTACCGCCCTGCCACCGCCACCACCGTTGATGGCGTCTCGGCTTATTGCAGCGTTTCAAAACCTCTAGGCTTGCATGGCGGCAAAATATAAAACACTGAATAGCGCTAGCGACTAGTAGAGACCATCAATTGTATCCGATTTTCAAAACATCACAAATACATGTTGCTATTCATCTCTATAAAGCAATGATGCGACCCATACTTTCCTATGCTTCCCCAGTCTGGGCTGCCGCAGCCAAAACCAACATGAACAAAATCCAAATTTTTGAAAATACGTAATTCCTACGCACCATCACAAAAGCTCCCTGGTACATTCCGATTACGAAGTTACATAATGAACTTCGCATTACACCCATTCCCGTCCATTTCTTCCTCTTATCCGTAAAATTCTATTCTAAAATATTAAAGATCCCTTCAGCCATTCACTTTCACATAGGTAAGCAAAATCCTCACCGCAAAAGATTAAAAGGAAAGTTACCAAGATAATTTTTCGATCCTCCATAGACATAAACAGATGAGTCTTTTCTCATTATAAACTACTGTATATAAGCACTGTATTGTATTATATTCAAAACTAAATTTCTGTTTATAATGTCTCAAATGATACTTGTATATAAATCATAATAATGTATTTATCTTATGCGGCTGCAGAGGGCCAATGGCCAAGCTAGAATACCTCGAATTAAAAAAACCTCTTTGTCTGAGTAGAAACCTTAAAGTAATATTCGAAATCTAAGAAACTTTCACTTATTAATTATAATATTTTTTTTTTATTTTACTTATTTATAAAATTTCTCATTATTAACTTTTTATTTACATATTCAACGATCACGAGAGAGAACAATTGATTATTATAACTACCTCGTTAATTTTAAATGTTTGAAGAAGGTTTATTATTTATTCTACACATCAAGAAGGTTTGTTTACTTATCCTGATTACCATTACTTCGTCTAAAGAACCAATGAATCACCCGCTTGCCAGGACGACGGAGAAACAGTTACATGAGCAAACGAAACGAATGAACTAGAGACAAGAAATTAAAAAAGGTTATTAGGAACGTAGGTAATTCCCGATAAGTTTCATTAGAACGGAACCGATTATGGAAAATCAGAATTTGAAAGAAATAATTTTATTGGGCCAATTCCTAAGCAGCTATGAAATGCCATTGATGTGTGATTGAAAATATGATTTAATCCTCGAAATACATTTATTATATTCTGTTAGAAATGAGAGATTACAACGATATAATCTACGATTGGAGCTGAAGAAAAAAATGAGAAATAGAGGAAAAATAAACTATTACTCATTTGTATAAAAGCAGAAAACTTAGCTCACAAATGAAAGAAATATGCAATTCTTCTCTTTAATTTATTCTATTCACATAAATTTTAAAACTAAAGATCAAACATTAAAATAAAATATAGATTTTCGTACTATACTAATTCAAAACACGAATAAACTCTCATTAAAATTGACAGCAGATTTACTACATTAGATAAAAGAGGTTTTAAAATAAAGAACTGATTTTAGACCTCGGTTAAAATAACATTTTTATAAAAGAGTAGGGTTTCCCCAGAACATAAAAACCTAAGAGTAAACAATATAGCTGTTGTTCTGTCAGTCCACAAATTCACTCCGTTCGCGTTGTACTGGAAATTTTATCACTTTTGAACTTGATTTAATGTTTGTATCCTTTTAATATCAAAAACTGCGCATTCTAACTCCATATACATCGCATGGTCCAAGTAGTACCCGCTATATACCGCTGACACATCACAGAACTGCTTACGCGCTTCGCCGACCACCGTCAAACATAATGCAAACCTTATTATCGCCGTGATATATCGCCCAAAGGCCTCATTCATCGCTCCACCCCTAACACATTCTCCGCAGCGCATGCGAACCCTCGCTTCAGCGATGGCGTCCGTTTTCGACAAGCTGGCGAGGGCGCGCGAGAATAACTGGGTAAAATAGCTGCGCTTTTCCACACACATTCGTGCGTTAAAATATTTCTGTTCTGGGGGCGAGGGGTTTTATAAAATTGACTGCTGCATAACCGTTAACCAGGCTGGCGCATGTTTAAAACGCACGCCAGATAAAGGGCATAAGCGGGGGAAGGGGCGGGAATTAAGGAGCGCATTAGCGAGTGGTCATCATTGCGTGGCGGGTGGCTGGAGAGGAGGTGGAGGGAATGCACTCGCAGTCCTCCCCCGCAATCCTCAACGCCCCGTAGCCTGTACGCACTACGTTCAACTTTCTTGCAATGCAGTTCCTCGCGTTGGTCGCATGGTGTTCATGTGTCTCGTGGTTTTCATGGCGATAAACGTTGGCTTCCCTCGTCTTCTTGCCACCACCATGCAATTTTCATTGTTGCCCTTGGGCACTATTTTATCCTGTGCAACAGTTTATCACAATAGCTAAAATAAATTTGTAACGACACAAAATGTGACACTGTATTGCATATTAATATTATTCTTACAGATAAAGCTATATAAAAATGTAAAAACAAATAAAAAAATCCTTCATACGCCTTGCTTTGGGGAAGGGGAAGGAAAGTCCCATGTTCCATGTTAGTATATTTACTGCATGGCATGTAAAAGATCCTCAAGCCAAAATGAAGCCTCTGAGCTAAATTCAAATCGCCTGATTCGTCGCCCAAGAAATACCTCCTTTCATTGCTATGTCAAAGGAGCGTAGCGAAATTTGCGTGGTCAGACAGAGCAGGCCTCATGGCCAAAGTCTCGCCAAGTAAGGCAACAATTAGATTCAAAAAACGTTAAATTCTCGTAAAATTAACAAAAAAGTTCCTCCAGTGTCAAAACATCATTGAAATCTATTCATGGGTAAAAATGTAAATGATAAATAGTTTAATTATTTAAAGTCAGGGTAAAGGAGTTAATTATCACCTATGTTGTATTAAGTGAACAAAACTTCAATCCAAGACAATGGAAAAAATTCATATCCTACTGTAACACCTAGTCTTATACTCAATAAGCGATGAGAAATATCTCGTTGATCAGAATCAATTCTGGTCTTTCTAATCCTTTGTTTTTTTCCTCTTGCTCTCTTGATTCTTTCGAGTTATTGTAATTGTATAATTTCAGGTAAGATCAAGTAATATTCTTGGGGGATTTCTAACTCCAAATTTAAATTTTCTCATATTCTGATAAGCTACACTGAGAAAGATGGACACGCAACAAACGCCATAAGACAAATCTTTTAATGAAATTAAAATAAATGATGCATCTTCCATTACGTGAAATTTCCCTAAACTTTTTCAGTAATTGTGAGGAAGCCTCCAAATAATCAAATACCAAGACACTTGGAAGCCCCGGTATAGTCAAAACTGTGCCGAATCGCGAGAAACCGCTCCGCCCTTCAGTCGATACGGCCCGCAGGCAGCGAGCGGGCGCGGCGCGCCGGCTGGTTGGCGTGCGGTCTCGCACACGTCGCTCGCCGCCTTCCTCCTCCCTGCCCCTCCCCCGCCTCGCTCCGCCCACGACCCGCGCCGCCCACCAACGCGCCCGCCCACCGGCCACCGCGGCCGCCCCGCCCGCCTCCCTCGCCGCCGTCGCCCGGTCGCTAGGGGAAAGTGTCTTTATGGCGTCTCAGCCAGGATAATAGCTCGCGGCAGAGATTACGGGGCATTTTTCATGTTCGTCGTCAAACTCGGGCACATAATACACACAAGGCCGAGATGGGCCATTCTTATGGCGCGCCCCGAGCCTTACTGAGGCCGCGTAAGGCCCCCGCGGCCTGGGCGGGCCCGGGCGAGATGGGGTGGAAAAAGGCACGCGCGGGGTGGCGGCAGCGGCGCCGAGGCGCGGCGGCGAGAACCACGGGGGCAGGCGCGGGGGCGGACGACGAGGAAAAGAGGCACCGCACCTCATGGTTCTTTAAGAAGAACGACGAGGGCGTGAGGACGGTTCGGGAAGGGCGGCAGGGACGAACGTCGAGCCGTCCCGCTCCGCCCCGCTCTTCCGCCTTCGCCCCCGGTCTCGCCGCCTCCCGCCGCCCGCGGCATTCCCCGCCTCTGTCGCCCCGTGTTATACGAGACCCCTCCGTCTTGCGCTCATCATACAGCTCCGAGTTTTGAGGTGCAGGAAATTGTCTTGCGATACTATCTCCCGATAGCCAGCGGGTATGGTCTGGAAATGATGTCGCCTATTCTATATAAGACCTCCATACTTCTAAAGCCATTTTTATAGAGAGAGAAGAGTGAAGAAAAACTTGGCCGATCTTGACAACTCGCGGAGAGCCCTTCCACAAGTTTTATACAGCATGCGTTTATAAATTGACTGCATGGAATGAAGTAAATTCAATTTAATTCTTGAAGAAAGTTAGATCAGCTGAATCTAATTGAACATGGTTTCTTGCAGAAGTTGCGAGAATTCGGAAGTTCCGCGCCCCGCCCCCGTACTCTTCCTCTCTCCTTCTGTCGACAAAACTGCGCCTTCTCATAACGGAGCTGTCTTCGTGCCGGCGAGCCCAACGAGGCGGGGCGCCCGGGCGCGCTTCGTACACAAACTAATTATTCCTGCGCCGCGGCGGCGACGGCGACGATGGCACGGTGGCGAGGGCGTTCCGCGGTAATCGCTTCCAACTTCGGAGCGCATCGGCTCCCAGCCCGAGACGTCCTTCCCTCGACGTCGCGGTCGTTTCGGTTGACGTCGTCGTGCTCGTCGTCGTCATTTTCGTATTTCTTATTTAATTTTGTAAAAAAAAATAGCTCAGTTTGAAGTACTATACATATGCAGTGATGTTTTAAATATTAAGAGTTAATTTAAACTTTCGACAGTACTAAGTTGGAGGGAACCTACAGATATATCATGTTTTCATTTCAAATTCTGCAAAGATTTTCACGAATGTATGGTACAGATATTTATGTATGACGCGTGTTGGATGTATGAGACTGTCTTCCTTGTCGTTATCTTCGTCGCCAGCGTCTTTGTAGAGAACGTCATCGCGGTGTTCGTTGCCGCGGAAAATTTTCCGCTCCGAAAGGAAGGGTCGTTCGAAATACGTTCGTAAAATGGCGGCGGGAACGGAGCTTCCTGGTTTTGTAGCCTTTGAGGAGATATTGTTTATTAAAAGACGTCCGTCAGTAAGTGGGACGCTGAATTGTGTATTGTAGAGCGTGTAATGATTGAGCAATTCGCATCAATCATGTGTGAACTCTAACACAGCTGATACATAAGTCAGAATTTAATTCACTTTCTGCGAGGGCCTATGAAGTGCTTTTTGCTTGTTGGTTGAATCGTCATTATGAAATCACAAAATTCGAATAGGTGATAATGAATTAACCAATTATTTGTTGTTTTTTTGTGTAAATACTATGATCGGAACAGCTATATTAGCAATTTTAGAGTACATAGAGGAGCGAATTTGTTTCTGCTTGTATTAGTGAATCACCACTATAATTGAAATTTTGAAATTAATTAAAACATAGTATGTTTGCTTGCATCAAATTTTTCACAAAGAATTGCATATGATTGTTCGCAAGCGTATCCATATTTCCCATCTAAAGCAAGATAAGAATAACAAGAAAGAATAATCTAGATAATACTTAAATTAATTGGCAAATGAGAATGTAAACAAGAATACTGTCAGATGACGACATAGGCTTCCGTAGACGGAATGGATGGAACTGACACTCTGGGAGACGTGGTGTCCTACGCATGATTTAGAACGTTCTTATCGCGTACAATATGTTCATCCATAATGAAGACTAAAACCTTCCAGCCAAGTAACAGACTACTATGGCAATATAAGTCAAACGATTGTTGTCTTCAATTTGTTTAAAATAATTTAACTGGGTGCTACCATTCAAGTCATCAGAAACAAATATTACGACGTCCGCATGCAATGCAACAGCTTAAGAAAAAAAATATATGTAATATTTTGCTTCATTTCGTGTAAAATAATCAATGTGTTGAAGAAGGTGTTTGTCAATAACATTCTCAAATTTCATGAAGTGCTTTTTTCAATGTTCCTGAACCGAATTACAATTAACAGCCTTACAATTAACATTCGAATGGCTAGACAAGCGAGACGAATGACGCTTATCGAAGTGGCATGCGGCGGACACACAATCCGAAGCAAAAGAGTGAGTGAGTGTTCATTGTCGAAACAAAGGGTCTCTCCACTAATGGCTAAAGGCGTGGAGTGTATCAATAGCCATCGAGAACCTGGACTTTAGAATTCATGAAGAATACATTTCATACAGTACACACACACACACACACAAATTGATCAGCTGCTAGATCAGAGAGTAACTAAAAAACTATTTTCATGAAACGATTGATATTTCATGTCGTAGTACATGAAATATCAGTTGTTGAAATATTCACGAAACATAATAGCAATAAAATTTCGAAGTATGAAAATAACATTATTTTAGTAAAATAAATACATTTTGCCTTAGTTTTAACTCAATATAGAAACATTTAGACCTTAAGTAATCTTGCAATAAAAGAGGTACCTGCAATATTCCCGTAAATATTAAAGTAATTTTAAATGTTCCACTCTTCAATTAAGTGACTGAATATCCAAAAACCTACCATTTTCGAGTTACCTGACGATATCCAAACGAGTATGAACGAATGACGGCTATTCGCGAAGAGTGCGGCGGCCGCGCAATCTGAGCACAGGGGCGACCAGGGGGAGTCGCGCGTTGCTCGGCGGAAGACGGCGGCTCTCTCGCGGGGCACGTTAACGGCCGGCGCGCGGGCATCAAAAGACAGCGGGGGCGTCTTCATGCGGCGCGCGAGGCGCGGGCCATTGTCCACAAACGACGTCGCCAGCGGCACCCCGCGCGTATAGATAATCTCTAATATACATTAGCCCGTTTTGAAAGCAAGGCTTAATGGGTACACGCGCTTCCACAATGCTCTACTAACATATAAATCCCAACTACAGCACTTCCAGACAGTCATCGCCCCATTGGCGACAGTGGCGGCGGTGACGGGGAGTGGCGGCGAGCAGCGCGAGAGGCA